TTTTATTCAGGAGAAATTTGGAGCTGTTAGTGAAAGAGGCAGCCATCAGGCAGCTCTCCTGCCGCAGTGCTCCCCCTGCATCCCATTCTTGCATACTGGTCATTGCTGAGTGACAGCCCTGTGCTTGTATGACCTGGTAGCACCTGTCCTCGTTTATTTATTTGTGTGTGTGCTACCATTCTACCTCCTGGTGCAGGGAGGACAGAGTTGACGAACTTTGTAACAAATCTAAACCAATGAAGAGCCATACCCTGAAAACAAGAATAGTAATCGTTATCATCATTGTCATCTTCATCATGGTAATAATAGTAAATATCCACTTTTTTCTTCCCTCGAGTGGAAAGATCTTAGGACTGTTTCACAGGACTCCCCAGAGGGAGACTTGGTTGCACACACTGGTGACCATCTCCATGAAACCCTTTGGGATTGGCTTTCTCTTCTTTGCATAACCTACTCTATTTAATCTGTCCTGTCCCCTTGGTACTAATTCTTGGAATCGATTGGTATACTAGATGACCTATATGCCAGCATTTTTTTTTTTTTTTTTTTTTGCAGAATCTAGACATAGACAGTGGAATCTTTCTAGTTAGGACTGCAGAGTGTGGTAATTGCTCTTGTAACAATGAACATTTTATTAGAGTTTCTGTGATACAGTGGAGCCTTGACTTAGGAGGCTCCAGAGGTCTGATTGTAACTAAGTCAATACAACTGAGATCTGGATGTTTGTCTGGATGTATGCTATATATAACAAGAGGCAGATGAATCTTCCATCAACCTAATTAACCAAGTTGTTTGTGTATCAGGCCAGTCATAACTTGAGAGTCCACTGTATCTGGAAAAAAAACATTGAGCAAAGTAGCCAGGCACTCTTGTTATTTGTCCTGTGGCAAGGGATTAATAATCAGGTGACTGGCAGAACTATAGTACTGGAGAAGACATATTAGCCAATCTGTAGAATTATATTATCTCCTTATAGGACTGGTTTCTAGCATCAAATATAAAGAATATAAAGTACTAAGAATGATAGATTCTCCATAAATCTAAAGATACTAAGGGAATAGAGAAGAGTCCCAAGAGAAGAGTTGGTGTGGGATCTTGTGCAGGACTTCACTTATTTGAACCAAAATGTAAAATAGATAATTGAGAGTGAGAAAGAGCCCCATTGTTATTCACACTGGGGAATAAAATGTAGAAGAAAGCTATTACCATAAGGTAAAGCGGCATGGGGGTGTTTTTTCATGCAAAATCCCACAGCATTAGTCTGAAACTTGTTAATAAATTGCATCAACTTAATCTGAGAAACTGAAAATGAGAAACAATCTCAGTATAAAAGAGAGAATAAGGGTTTAGAAGCCAGCTGAAGTCCTACAAGCATGGGCTGGTTGCACTCCATAATTATGTGTTTCATTGTGTAGCTGAGGGTAATTTAGTGACTTTTGAGACTCTGTGGTTAGATATGGACATAGGCAGTTGATGTACTTTCTGCTGTAGTAAAGCACAGATGTTGAAGACCTCATTATATCCTCTTTTTTCCAGATACCCCAAGGAAATACTTAATGAACGGTGCTGCCCTAAGAAGAATAATTAACAATAGCTATATTATTCCTATAAATTTATAGTTACTCATTGCCATAATTAATGCTATTTATGAAAATCACCATAATTATAGCACTGTACAATTTACAAAGTATTTTCCCATCCATTTTCTTATCTAAATCTTGTAGCACCTCTCTGGGTTAGGTAGGGCAAGTGGGGTTCTCTTCATTTTATAGATGAATAAACTATGGCCCAGGGAAGAATTTCACAAGATTCTAATTCACTCTTGTGCTGCCTATGAGTTTGTATAAAAACACTTATAAAATTCATGTTTATGATATCGCTGTCCCTGTAGTGGCAAGACCCACTGTCCAGAATATTTATATGCAGTTTATATGGTACAACGATCTTTCTTTTTAATAATTCTTCCATATTACATGTTTTTGTTTGTTCTGGATTTTTGCCTATATTTTTCTTTTCTTTTTTTTTTTTTCTTTTGGAGGCAGTGGGAATCAAACCTAGGGCCTCACCTAACATGCTGGGCAAATATTTTGCCACTGGGTTTCATTCCAACCAATTGTTATATGCAGTTTATATGGTACAACGATCTTTCTTTTTAATAATTCTTCCATATTACATGTTTTTGTTTGTTCTGGATTTTTGCCTATATTTTTCTTTTCTTTTTTTTTTTTTCTTTTGGAGGCAGTGGGAATCAAACCTAGGGCCTCACCTAACATGCTGGGCAAATATTTTGCCACTGGGTTTCATTCCAACCAATTGTGTTCTCGTTCTCTCTCTCTCTCTCTCTCTCTCAATCTCTCTCTCTCTCTCTCTCCCCCCCTCAAACCTAGGGCCTCACCTAACATGCTGGGCAAATATTTTGCCACTGGGTTTCATTCCAACCAATTGTGTTCTCGTTCTCTCTCTCTCTCTCTCTCTCTCAATCTCTCTCTCTCTCTCTCTCTCTCCCCCTACTATCTTTCCTTCTCCTCCTTTTCTCCTTCCCTCCCTTTCCCTGTCACCTTCTCTGTGATACTGATGATTGGTGCCTCATGCCTCATAGATGTTAGACAGCCACTGGGTAAGATACATCCAGCCACTGAGCTACACCAGCCCCTTTCATAGTTATTCATTTCCTTTGAGGCAAAAATGCAATGTCCTATGATAGAAACATTAGTACCTTGAAAAAAAAGCTATTTCTCCCCATTGGCCTTAAAAGTTTAGAAAAATAAGAAACTTCCCGAGTCTGAGAAAAATACATCCAATCCATTGTACCATTACTTTTCTACTTTGACTGGAGCAAAGAATGTGAGGAAAAACTCGCAATTTCATAAGCCTGTCCTTCAAATCTAGGCCACCTAGCCTGATACACACACACACACACACACACACACACACACACACACGCATGCACACCCATGTACACATGGACTGAGCCTTTTTTGTCACATGCTGGAGAATCCATGGCTTCCTCTTGTACCTATAGTTGCTTTTACCCAAAAGGCATTAATGAGAAAGTGATTACTAGCTGAACCTATGACAGAATTGTTGTTAATTGATTTATTAACTCAAAAATAATTATTGGACCTTTACATGAATCCTTAGTAGGATGTAGAGAAGCACTAAAGAATAAAGCACAGTCTTTGCTCTCATAAAATTTACATTATCCTAGCGGAAAAGCTGACCAGAAACAGAGAAATGCACATAAAATTTAGTTTTTTGATAGTGGTATTGATAGTTACCATTAGAAAAGTAAATTAAGATAGGGTAAAATGACAGTGACAGAAGAATTATAATCAGAATGAGAAAATCATGAGTGGGATGTTCTGGATAAAGTGATCAAAGATCCCCAAGTGGAAAGACAGCTCTCAAACAAGTATTCCAAATGGCTAAAGAGGAAAATGGCAATCTAGGTTTGGCTTGACGGGCTGGGCCACAGCTTCATAGATGCCTGATTCTATCAGGGTGTCTGGAATGAATGAGGTCAAGGAGAGATGAAGTCATGTTGGCTGAATTCACCAGAGGTTGGCCAGTGCAGCACGTCCCATTAAGGGCCTTTAATATGCAGACTTAGGAGAAAGGAAATAAAGGATTGGATTTAATATTAGAAAATGAAAAATAATGGAAACAAAGTTTTTGTAGTAAGGGAGGGAGAGAGGGAAGGGTTGAAGGGAGGGCAGGGGAATGGAGAAAAAGTAAGAACCAAGACTGATTATGTAACAGTAGAAATTTCCAACAGTGAGTGTTATTGTATTGCATGTATTAAATTTACCAATGAAATCAGTGAATTAAAAAAATTGAACTCAGAGAAAGTGTCTTAGTGAGCAAGGTCTTATGTAGAAAGCAATGAGGGGTCTTAAGATGATGTCTGATGTTGTATATACACTAAAAGGACAGATTAACTCAAGTGTTGTAAGATTTAGTGTTAGTCCATCGGGGAAGCCTATTTTTGTTGTTACTAAATATATCCTAGTTTCTGGCTAGTGCCTTTTCTAAGCTCTTGAAGATACTAGGCATTCTCCTGATATTTGTCCTTCTCTGTCAAACTCAATAAAGCAAATAAGATTACAGTAAATACCCATTATTTCACTCCAGTTTGGGCTTGCTTAAAATACACTTCGGTTTCTTGATGGAATCTTTAGAGACTTTTGTATCCTACATAGATGATTGTTACGCATTGTCAGCTTAAGAGATTATTTCTGCTCCATCCTGTTTCTGATTCTGGAGCCACCTCACTTTATATCTCCTCCCCTCAGACTTTAGGAAAATTGTTTGGCTGTTTTCCCCAAACCCCACATTGTTCTTGGAAATGCACTGTGTATCATTGCCCTCTGGTCTCCCATCACTGACTCTGAGTGCAGGTGTCGTGGGCATTGATATGAGCCCCATAGACCCTTTCATCAGCCATATTCATGGAGTGTGCCTTCTCTGTGTCTCTGTGGCCTGAGCTCTGAGGTTCTTTCTACTCCATTCTTTGGGTTTGTTGCTTGTGTTTTGCTATCTTCCTCTTGCACATACTGATAATCGTTGCTGATTTTTCTTTGCGGGCAATGCATCATCCTTCCTTGTGTACTGCTGCTCAGGAGGCATCACCATCCTTTGCAGTGGCTTCTGTATGCAAAGTTCCTACTACATCTCTCCAGTTGGCTTTGCCCCTTGAGTGCAGGGATGGAAACGTTTATTTTCTTTTACTTGTATCCTCTTCAAAAAAGTATCCGACTATGTGTATAGCCTTAGAATGAGCACCTCATATGTTTCAGTTTTCTCATTTTTCACAGAGATAATTCTACCTCAGACTACCCAATGAGATTTAATAAAAGCTTTTGTTAAAAAAAAAGAATATGGAGAAGAAAGGTGTAATTTAACTTTTAAGTGCAACTTAAGTATAATTTAAGAAGTTTGAACTTGTAATTGTTTCAATGAAATTGTATTTATTTTTAATGCATGTGGATTGTTTTTGGCAGGGAAATCCTGGAGGGAAGACGCTTGAGGAGAGACGCTCTAGCCTGGATGCTGAGATTGACTCGTTGACCAGTATCTTAGCTGACCTTGAGTCTACTTCTCCCTACAAGCCTCGCGCTCCACAGGTGAGTGCAGTCTGCAGTGGTTCTCCCTGTGACCAGCTTAGTACGCTGTATTCTCCACCCTTATTTGATGTTCTCAGAGCCAGTGGTCTGTCTAAGTTATCTTTTTGTGCAGAATTGACACATGTTGGTTATCTGGCGTAAACTTCTGAAATTAATTTTATTAAAAATTTGCCTTTAAAAGAATAATGTCATACAAAAATCTTACTCAAATTAAATCTCTTCTTATTCCATTGCCCTACTCTTTTTCTAGCTTTGTCTGTTTGGATATTTTTCTATATATTGTTAGACTATTCACAAATATGACTTAAAGTAACTAAAGCTAAAGAAAATAACCTAGGGTAAGGTGGAGGATTCTAAGGTGAAGATCTTTTGTAAAGAGTATTTCTTGTGTTGGATATTGACATGGTTCCCATTTTTTTGTTGTTGTTGTGAGTAATGCTACAAGGGACACATTCATGTTTATTTTCTTTGGAGCTATTCTCTACCCTCAGACTATTACCAGTGGGATTCTGACATTAAGGAGAATGACTACTTTCTTTACTTTTCTTTCTGAAGGTCTGGATAGTTTATACTGGCATCAGCAGTTTGAATATATCAGTTTCTCCTCAAATTCATTAGAATTATGTGACAGCAATTATTCTGTGTTTTTAAGTGTAAATGGTGCCTTGTTAACAGCTTTTCTTTGCCATTTTTTGCTTTGGAGCTTGCTTATTTTTCTGTATCTTAGTTTATTACCTGCATTTTGGAAGGTGATATTCTACTATTGGTGATCATTGCTGCTCTCAGGTCTTAAGTGGGCCATAGAAAATCTATTTCGGGGCTCCTATGTCCTCAGCAGACAGCCTTCAGAACTTCAGATACAAAAGAATTGGGCAGGTACCTTTGTCACTGTGTTGTTTGACTCCTGTGTGACAGTTGCTTGACTGAGTGGCAGTGCATACACTATTCTGGCTTTTGCTCCAATTCTTGAGTGGCAGCTGCTGTATTAATAATGGTTCCTTTCACAAATTAAAAAACAGTCCTGCCTTAGTGCTGCCTGTCATTTCAACACTTAACTGCACATAAGGTTGCAGTGCTTTCTTGTTACCTTTTCTCACCTAACGTGGGATTGGCAGCTGTGTCAGGGTGCAAGGCAAAACATACTAGACATGAGCTCTTCCTTCCCGTCTCTGCCCTTGACTCGCTCAGGCCTGTTAGTGGTAAAAATGTGCTTCACTCCTGTAAATCTGAACTGAACTGCTGGCGGGTAGCATGCGTGGTGAGGCCTCAGATAGGAACAGGAAAGTGGAAGGTCAAAAGGGAGACCCAGGAGACTCAACTATCATCTTTGAATAATCTAATATATGTTAGACTAATATCATATTAGTCATCCTATCTGTGACTGTGATCAGAGTACAAAGATGAAGGTGATGGAGTCTGAAAGTTCTGATCAGAGGGCTCCCATGCTTGGCCAGAGGTTGGATGGGACTTTCTTGTTAGAGAAGGAAGGAGAACAGCCTGAAACACAGTGTAGGATAGTCCAGGCTACATTTAGAGACCTGCAGTGCCTGGGTGTGGAGAGGGAGCTGGTGCAGGCTGCGAGTGAACTATAAGACTGGATGGTTTCCTGCTGAGAGCTTGCAGATAAGTTTTATGCCAGTTGAAGATTTCAGCCTGCTTTTTTCAGATAATTGAGAGTTTGCAAGTAGGGGAAGCTAAAATTCATTCTGAACAAGGAACATAGGAAGCAAGGCCAAATCTGGAATGAGACAAGGGAATGCATTCAGTTCTGAGAAACATTATCCAGTAAGCCATGATTACTTCCTTATTTAATGTTCAGCACATATCCAGTTCTACACAAGCAAATACCTCAGGTTAGCTAGGCCACTGACTGCCACTAGACTCAGCCATTTTATGCTGAAATGCTTCTGTGTGCTTCTGTTTTATGGTTTTAAGCAAGGCTTGTGTTTAATCTTATTTTCTTTCTTCTAATGTTGTATTACCTAATATGTGTGAAGATGATTATGCCGTGAGGTTTTCACTTAATATAGCCTTCATTCTTTAAGGCTGTGTCTACACATGCCTCTCATAAACTACTTCCATTTTAATGGGTTTATTCAGCATTTCTGTTATTTTTTGAGCAATCTCACTGGGCATACAATCTCACAATCACTGGTATTTGGACAGGAGTTTACTGATGGTGAAGCACTTTCATGTATATTCTCACTTAAGCGAGGTATATTTCTCATCTTTCAGATATGGATGGTGCACATATTTCTTTCCTTATGGATGGGAAACTAAGACTTAACAGATGTGTGGACTTGTCTTTGACCATATAACTACTGCATGAGCACAAGTGACCCTTGAATCTAACCCTGTGCTTGACTTCAATTTCTAAAATCAGATTAAGAGTGTCAGGTTCTGTCTTTTTAAAAAAATTTTTATCGTTGACAAAAGGTATGAAATCAGTCATATGAGTAATAGTGTCCCTTGAATATCATTTTTTTTGCCTATAAGAAAGAAAATGTTTAGGAGATTTAGAGATAATTATGATAACCCTTAAATAGAATAAGTTCATAATTAGTATAAAATGTACTTTCAACGTGCATGTTCCACTCAGAAATTAAAGGATGATCCATTCAATTCTTGTCAATTATTCTAATTTAGGAAAGCTACAGTTAATTAGGAGATAGAGCTCATCCTACTGAATTATTTCACTGTGGTGCAGCTGAATTAGATGTGTTAGTATTTATTGGTTAACATAATTATATGCCATAAGAATAATAATCACACACTTAAAATATTAAAAAATACGTGCCAAGAGAAGATGATGTCTACAGTAGATGGTGTTGTGTTGTAATTAAAATGTACTTGAAAAGTCCTACAAATGTAGACTATTAACTTCCAACTTTGATGTCTCTGTTGTTGAACCAAGGCAAATTTCAAACTCTAACCCCATGATTCTGCTGACCCCCTAAAGTAGGCCAGTGAATGTAGGGTTTCCCATTAGTGAAGACTGTGTTGTGTGTTTTCCAAGCTCTGTCTCTGAATCACCTTTTTAAGACTACTTTGACTCAGAGATCTGGGGAAATGATGTACATGTGGATTTTTGCACAACAAGATGTCTCCGAGAGTTCCATTCGTGTACCAACTCTTAAAAATGTGTGATCTCCTGGAAGTAGCCTTTCTGAAGCTTTTTCCTCTTCTTCTATAGAAATATTTCCCACTTCCAGATTCTCCAGCTTTAGTTGTGTTCACTTATTTATCCATATGTGTATTTGGTCAGTGTATCCAAATTCTACATCTTTACATTCCATTAATTCACTGAATATGTATTGATATGCCAGTGTGAATTTATTGGGGCTATGAAGGTTGGTGTCAACATGATCTTGGTCTATAGCAATTCCTAATTGTGTGGAAGAGATAAGCTCACAAATAATCCAGAGTGATATGAGTTTGGGCCTCAATGTGCTACTTACATTACCTCATATTAAAGTGGTTAATATATTTAAAAAAACAAATATCAACATTGTGCCCTTTATCTTTCAGGGCCAGGGAAGACTATATAGGACAGGCAGCATTTGAATTCACATAGATTATGAGAATGACACTGGATTCATGGTGCCAGAATATCAGGAATAGGAAAGTATACAGATATTAAAAATGAATACTTTGTTTGAAGAATAAGTCATTCTAAAAGCATTACAGAGTAAGTAAAGTGGAAAGTGGAAGGAGAGGGTAAAAGTCAAATATTCTTATTATATAGTAGCTCTTGCTGTTCCCAAGAGTTCTCAATAAAGGGGAGAGATTCGGGGGGGTAGAGATAGTGTTTCTGCCTGTAGTAGATTTAGTGGTAATGACTTTAGCAAAGTTTTCATGAGATGTGTAAATATATGTTCATGACACTACACAGAATTATGTAATTAACTATTTAAGTGGAGTTTAACTTCTAAGAATTTAAAAATATGTACATCAGTGAATAGTTTTAGAGCAACAAGCGTGAGATGTTCACAGGTGGAGGCGAGATGAATTGCAGACCTAAGATGATTGTAGGGTTTCAGAGCTTGAATGAACCTCCCAGGGTTGTGTGGTCAGATTCTTACTTGACAGGTGGGAAGATTTTGTCCAGAGAAGGGAAGACCATTATTCAAGCAGGCTGAGTTGTAGCAAGGTGAATGGTACTTTTTCACCCCTTGAGTCATTACATAGTGGATCTCTGGAATATCAAAGGCAAGCAAGTTTGGTTCCACATAACATTACAATTAGTTTATTTCAAAATGTCTCTCTTATAGCACTTTCTTTAAAATATGTCTTGGAAAGGAAACAAAGGATTAGATATATCAAAAACATACCTGAACAGTAAACACAAAATTGATGACAGCATGAAGTCCCCAAATTGGTGTCTATCTAATCCCCACCCACTGGACATCATTTGTTATACAAGTACAGCTTATACACTTCAGAGGGTCTACACAGAGTATTAGACTGAAATTCTTTAGTCTTGGACGACAAGGGAGCAGTTGTAACAGAGCTAGTGCTAGAGTGCTGATCTTTTAATTCTTGGCACGAGATTGTGTTTTCTTCCCCACAGTGAGTTTGGTAGCATTGGAACTAGTAATTCAATGATTTAGAATAATTTTCAGTTATACCAATGATTTACATATCTGGGTATTTGTAATTGTTTGATCAAGTTGTTTTTGACAATCTGATGGGACTTTCTTTAGATTAATGTGATACTGTGAAATAATGTTGATAGATACACACACACATATATACATATACACCCGCACTATATCTATCTATCTATCTATCTATCTATCTATCTATCTATCTATCTATCTATCTATATATATTATATATGTAGTATATACACAGTACATACACATATGTATGTTTCTGTTTCTAGTTCCTGCCTGATGCCATATCTTTTAAGCTAAGCAATAAGGGTGTCAGGACAGGGGAGCATATTTTATTTTATCTGACTGTTACTTTGTTTCACTTTGGTTGCTGACCCAGAGTTC